TATTAGACATTAACAGTACGTACTAAAGGCTTTCCGATAAACCGTGAAAAGGATTCCTTGCCTTTGCACGCCAAACCAACCTGTGTGCATGAATTTGCGTACACCTGCGCATGCACGTACATTGGGTGCACGCAAAGACAACTGGCAGCCAGAGCCGCTTAGCATATTCAAAATTGACTTTTCAAGCAATAAAATTGATTACCACGGGCTTCGATCACTAGACATATACTTGACAGTAGTATATTTGTCTATATTAAAACAACTTTCTGAGTACTTGTTCGGGCACAAGCAAATAAGACCATGCTCCACCTGAAAGCAACGTACATGCAGCGGGAGTTACCCGAATTATGCAAGGAACTAGAGCTTTTTGTCAGTCTTTAATTTCTCTGGTAATCGGATGCCTAGAATTATTCCCAATCGTGATTTATGTTAGCTTCCTCACTCTATTTTCTCTTCTATACGGCGGTTTAAGGTTGTTTCTTTCATCTGATCAGTATTTTTTGTAGTGAACTATGACCTTTCTGTTATGAATTCATATTCTATGAGAATGCCAAATTCTGTATGCTCTTATGCGTCATATTAATCAAACAAAGACGGGATGCAGATGAAAAGCCATCGCAAAATATTTTGATTCCAATAAATCCTGCCATCTATGCCTGTTTCAAATTCGTACCGTGAAAAATGTCTCAAATGACAATTGATATTCCGCACAAATACACGTGAAAGTAAAATTAGTTTAGACATGATCAAACATTTCATGAACACCTCTTTAGTATTTGCATGGACATGGAACACATACTTTGCATATTGGTGGCATGACCATGTTTTAAGATAAAAAAGTACACGCACTTAAATACCGAAGAAATTGAACCACAAAATTTCACCATAACCTGAAAATAACGAGATTTTTTATATCGTCCCTAATATATACAAACTGGTGAACAGGTTTTCAGATTGTATTATATCTGCTCGCTGATTTTGAAATGCCTGACTCTGTTAATTGTCCGACACAGAAAGTAGCATGGATTTAGGAAATGCTTTTTCAAAAAAAGGCAGACTTTATTGCCAATAAAAAGATGTTACTGTCAGAGGAGGGCTCTTTCCCAGCGAATTAGGCCTATAACAATATTATTCAACTATGCCAGACTGGCGATTTTGTTTGTGGTTACCAGGTTTTCCCAACCGTAAAAAAAATGGTGTGCGTAGGATTGCAGGAGAAACGTATGCTACTGCCTGAAAGACAGGAAATAATAAGTCATTCTTTTGTGACTATAGCAGCTAGGATGCGGAATTTGCAACCCACGCGTAGTGGCTCATAAAGAGTCATCAAGATTCATAGTGATTTTTTCTGGGAAAAGTGAACTAGTGTGCCTGAAGACCGAGCAAAATGATTAGGGTATGAAGCTTTGGGAGATTGTAACCTTGTAAGTGAATACTTGCGCCAGAAAAACTTGCGGAAATATTTTTCCGTTTAACTCACTATCTTTTTACGTACATAATACCACCAAACCTACTTTAAATTACACAAATAACACTAGTTAAATAAGGTCAAATTAAATGTGGGCAAAGTGTTGGCCGTTCAAAGGTAAAGCAAAATAATTTACAACTTAATTCGCTTAGGCCAACAGTGTCAGTTAATTGGAAAGCCTTACGAAGTCTTGAACCTCAATCTAGTTCAAACATAATATTCGTCTCTTTCAAAACATGCTTAAAATATGTCTTAATATTCCAGTTGTTGTTATTTTCGAAAGAGAACAAAGAGGGTTTTAAGGTGGTTCTTAAATTTGACGTTTATTAGGAAATGTAAGATAGCTCATCTTGTTATACAAAATTTTAAGCCTCCTGACTCGTCCTATAAAAGGATCAGACACCGCATCAACTCGCCCAGTTGTTATGCGTTTTAAAGAAGCCTAGCAGGCACATGAGGCATTTTCTAGTAAAATTATTGATACTTATCAGATGTAAGTACATGCCAAGGCGTTTTAATAGTTCACTTTTTTGGTTTTCGGAAGGTTTACTTCGCCAACGATTTATGTCAGTATAATATTTTAAGACCCGTGAAGCATTCGAATATATACATATTTTACTTCGGCGAATGACAGCATACAATCCAGTTACTTGCAAACTGCGACTCTCGGGTTATTTGATATTTCAAATATTTAATTACATTAGCTTAATGGTCGGCATTTGCGTAAGTTGTCAACAGACTTTCTAGGATACTGAGGCGTACAAAGGGTGTCCAAAATGACCTCTTTATTTTCTAATCTGATTAGAGATCGAGGACAAGGAGGAAAATCCAACAACCTGCTAATGCGTAAAATTCTTACTTGTCATTAGCGCATTGCACGGTAATACAACAAAAGCACTATAAACATTTTACAAAATTTAATTCGGTTCAGTTTTTGATGAAACAAAATAGTGACGAATAAGCGTGCGCTGCATAATTTCTTTGAAAATAACTAATTTGTAAGATATTTTGAACATGTTTGAATTAATTTAAATACAGAAGCGGTGTTCATTTCTTATCTCCGTCTTCCATATTTTAAAGTTTCAATCTTACATAATTGATATGTACGTCTGCAAAAGGACGGTCCCCGCTAAGGCAGTTGCATTACATTGTGCTCCTAGTCATTTTGAAAGGCTCACTAGTAGTGAAAATAACTTTACCCAGCCGTAGCAGCATTTTAGTAGCGACCTTTTTCCACAAAGGCCGTAATTAAGATCCCTTCTTTCGCCCTAGGTGAAAATGATGTGCCGCACCTTCCATGTTAACATACAGTTCTTAAATGCCCCATAACAATAATCGAAATGACATTTTTCTGAGTCAGTCACACACGTTACGCATATTCTGGCAGACTATAAACACGAAGCAGTGATCAGTTATCGCTTGCTTTGGATGCGGTATTCTAACCATCTTTGACAAGCCTTCCCTTATAATATCCAACTAATTTCGGGCACAGTTAATGAGCAGCTACGTGTGTACAATTACTTTAAATGGGCGCAGATTATTGTTTATACCGCAACGGACAGAGAATCTATTATTTACAGTAAAAAACTTATAGTGGCAAATGAAATCGTAGATAAACGTAGTATGATCATATTGGCAAGATTAGGAAAATATCAACGTTCAAGGTTTATCTGCTTACTCAGCATTATATAGTCTATCTGGAGCGGAAGACCGGTAAGTAAAAGGAAGCATACTGGCAAACCCGCCTTCTACAGGTAAAACTAACCCTTCACAAACCTTCGAACAACAATTCAGCAGGGGGCAGAGAGAGGTTTACCCCAGGGAGAAAGCATAGAGGATAAGCGTGGCCATTGACATGCCGTCTTGTTTTCTCGTCTAACGGCTAGAAAGTAAATATATGCGGTTTGGCTGCAATTGGGACAACAATGAGTTAGTGCGTTCTTTTTTTCTCGAGTTGCACTACCGATGTCGCCGTGTCACCGAATGCGGTTAGTGACCCAGTTTCCATTTAGAGACCGCAACACCGCTGTCCGTCTTTTTGGGTTTATTTATTTTCCAAGGACCTTTGCTTGCAACAGAAAGCGGTGGGTCCGAGTACCCGGTAGTGTTCAGCTATGAGGAGGGCGGCTAAGAGCATTGCAATTGCTGGTCTACTATGAACTGAGTCGACTTGATTAATTTGTATGTGCTACACATGTGGAAAAGATCATTTGGCGTCAACCAGTGTTGTTTCGGACCGTATATTACCTAGAAAGATTAGCTCAGGTTACAAAGCTTTACTTTATCATATATATGCGTGAGTACGAAATGAACTTACTGAATAAATCAAGGGAGTCTGGACTAACTAACTCTGGCTTATAGATCTTCATCAGTTAGCTAAATCCAATGCAAGCTTTGCAATCCCTGGGGTTTTAACTCACAACCTGTTGGCCAGAAGTCCAGTTAACCAGGTGCTCATTTTACTGTCGGTTGTCATATAGTAAAGCAGAAGTGTCTGTTGACGCCGGTCAACAGGCATCTAGACCTGCCAGCGGCCTACAAAGTCTTGCGCCATTGTGTGAGAAAAAGACGGAACGAAGCCAAACCAAACTCAAGAATGGCAAACGAAGAGGAAGCAGGGTTACCAGGACCCTCTACCGGGTGACAAAGCGGCACACTAATTGCTGTTCATGACCCCCAGCTCCACTGACAGCTAATACGCGTACACCACTATAATTGCCCCTCAACCCCACTGAGAGTTAATTGCCCTCCTCCTCCCCCATCCTTTCTCGATTGCTGTTTGTAACACCTTGACAACCTCATGATTTCTGACAGTTGATTGGCCTATGGCCACTATATATACCCCTTTTTTGGTTGCTTTCTTATCTCTGAAGATGGACTCCTGTAGGAGTTCGAAAGCTCAGAACAATAAATCAAATGATCTGGTGCTCGGCACGCCTCCTTCCTCGCTCATTTTACTGTCGGTTGTCATCTAGCATAGTAAAAGTGTCACGGCTGTGTAGCTGTTGGCGAGTTTCGAGAGTGAGTCCGGTGAGTGAGTCTGGTATCGGGGAGCTACAATCTACAGTTATTAATCGATGCAAAAAATTATTAAAATTCCCGATAAAAAACGACAAAATAAGGCAAACGTCGTGCAGAGGGTTAGATCGTTGGACTTCTAAACAACAGGTCACGGGTTCGAACCTCGGGCAGTGCAGCACCTGGGATCGGATATGGCTGGCTAATGATGGCTAATAAGCCGGAAATGACCATTACAGTATCCATTGTCAATAAATATGAATATGCGTGTTCCAGGAACCAGTTCAGAAAAAGAAGATGCGATCACTGCAAACAAGAGTTTTATTTTGCTGACGTTTCGGATTCTGTCGAGAATCTTTAATCATAGGTAATGATAGGATAGTCTGAGCCATGCGCAGATAGGTGTAAAACATGCACAGATTGCACAGTATTTATAGTTTATAGTGGTCATGCGCGTGCGTACTATAATCATCCGTCCCTGTAGCCACAGCTTGAGGCCTTAATTGGTGTGGTGATGGCTGGAGACTTCGCGTTCGACTCATTAATTTCTGCGATTTCCTTGCCCGTATCGGATGCGGGCTTAGTAATTGCGTGACAATATTACTCGCTATCGTCAGGGTTGTTGCAGGGCCCGGCTCTTCCTTTTTACTTCTATTTCACAGGACCTGGCAGTCGAGACTATCCAATTACTCCTGCGAAAGAAATACGATGAAACGGAGAATCACTTTGGGCACGCCCAAATCCTCCAGCTCCTAAAGTCCTGTCTCAAGACGTACTTTACCTTCAACGGAACTATACACGAGCAGGTGGAGGGCACGCCCATGGTTTCGCCCATTTCCGGACTCATAGCAGAGGCGGTCCTGCAACGGTTTGAGTCGCCGGTTTATTCGACACCACAGAGCTAAAATTCTGGGCTCGGTATCTGGACGAAACCTTCGTCGTAATTAAGCGGGATCAGGTGCTGACGTTCAAGGAACGTAAAAACACGGTCTTCGATGACATTTAGTTTACGATGCAGGAAGAACTAAACAACCAACTGGCCTTCCTGGGGGCCCTCGTCTGCCGCAAAGACGGTGGTCACCTAAAAACTAAAGTGTTTAGAAAAGTCACCAACACCATGCAAATCCTGAACTTCAAAAGTAACCACGTGATCAGCCACAAACGCAGATGAGTAAGAGCGCTATACCAGCGTGTTGAGACGCATTGCAACGAATTGGAACGCAAAGTTGCTGAATTAGAATACCTTCGACGGCTACTGAGAGCGAATGGTTGCCCGCGCAAACCTGTTAACCCATGCGTACGTAGCCGAGAGAAAAAACCACATCCAATTGGCCCAACAGTTTGGTGAGCCTTTCCGTACGTGAAGAATGTATCCGAAGTGGTCAGCCACCTGCTCACTCCACTTGGAATTGGAGTTGCGCACAGGCCAGAAGCCACCATCAGGCGCCGGGTCATGAGACCGAAAGACCCACTGCCACTGCAGGAAACGGTTGGAGTCGTTTACCGGATCCGGTGCAGTTGTGAACGAAGCAACTATGTCAGAAAAACCGGGAGATTACTCTGGACGCGTATGGCCGAGCATGCAGCGGCGGTGAGGAAGAAAGACGCCACCACCCAGGCTGCAGCTCACTCGATGGGACCCGGCCATATTTTCATATTTAACGGAACCGAAGTCGAAAAGAAGACGACTCGATCGCTGGGACGATACTTTTAGTCGCCTGGCATAAGGATGTTGTATCGGCGTGTTGAGACGCACTGCAGCGAACCAGAGGACAAAATTGTCTTCGACGTTTGTTCAGAGAAAACGGTTACCCGCGCAACTTCATCAAACAGTGCTTGCGCAAACGAGATAGCCAAAAAATCACACCAACCCCAAAATTTGTCGAGCGACCCCGTACGTCAGAAACGTATCGGAGGCTGTCGGCCGCCTTCTGGCATCACTTGGAGTTGGAGTCGCACACAGGCCGAAGGTAACCATAGGGCATCAGATAATGAAGCCCAAAGACCACTGTCATAGCAAGAAACATCTGGAGTCGTCTACAGGATCTGGTGCAGTTGCGGGCAAAGC